CCTATTCCTCCTAAACACTGGAAAGTTGTTTGGCTTTGCTGAATCATAGGTATGAACTGTACTCTGTAATATAATACGTAATATATAAGTAATAATGCGTATAATATACATTTTTCTTGTTTTCCCTATGAGCTTAGTTCCGACAGGTTCCTATCCGGCTAACTTATCGACCTTGTGCGATATACGCATTGCGTACGCGTGCATATGAAGGGTTTTCGTGCAAATACGCCTAAATCTACTTTCGATCTAACTGAGAGTATCAATTTTTTATACTAAAAATAAATAATGGGATTAAGTAGTTTTCTTTAAACTCTAACGCTAGTTTGACGTAAACCATATCTAGTAGGGGCAGGTCTGATCTTTTTGGTCATTTCCTCAGGAGTAACAGCATTTACATAGTTTAACTTCAACCCTTTTATTCGGTAGAAATCTTCACTCGTGTCCATATCTTCTGCTTTTTAAAGTGCGCGTTTATCGATCATCAGATAAAAGTGCTGTGAATTTTTCCAATATATCTCTGTCAGGCTGTTTAGAGAGTCAAGCAAATTCACTAAGTATATACAAGCTGAAGGGAATTATTGGCACGAAAACCACCCTCTATGTCACATCAGAAAGAAGACGGCTATTCTGCATCAGCTTCTGAAGTCTAGCGATGCTACTGCGAACATACGACAGAAGCCGATCTAGAGCAGTGTATTATATTTTTCGTAACGGAGTCCGATTGAAAGTAGTCGTTTATATTATAAAGAGCAATCCTCACTATAGATATAACTAAAAAAAGAACAGCATAACTACGGAACCGACGGCTATTGATTTCCTGAAGCTATCAGAGCCAATTTATACCCCGTATCTATAGTACACTGTGATTCTATGGAAAAAATTTTTGTTTGTGCGGGTAACCATTCGACGTTCATGACATAGCAACATCATCCTCATAAGAATCCTTTCAGCAACAGCCGGTCGGCCATTGTTAGGAACGTTAAAACTACAAAGTGTATCTCAGGCATCGATTTGTGTAGGGGACGCCTTACGTGTGACTCATAACGCAGCGCGGAAGATGGCATTTTTTCTTTGACGAAATCGGGCCGATTGTACTGATGTGTTATAACATCTCTTGAGCTGCTGGATTTATTAAGATAGCGTGTTAGATTGTGGCACTGATTTGGCAACTTGAACCCGGCCAGACGTATCGTCAGTAAGTTTTTCTTCATTATTATCAGTAGATTGTTTATATTATGGTAACTTATATATTTTTTCATCAATTTTTTCGTCTTTAGTGTCAGCTACTTTCACTATAATATTGTAATAGAGCAAAAATACGGTTACATTTGTACGCCGTTTGTCGATGTTGGCAACTGAATTTCACTGGATTTTAAATAGTCGACTGTTTATGACTACTTTTGTTGCCTTTCTGCTAGGTTCAAGGTATCGTTCTACCATTTGCATGCCAACTTTTAGTACACTATAAACATTCTACGCTAAATTTGCTTTAAGGTTCAACACGTCCACCTCTCGCCATTTAACTGTCTGATCAGGACGCCAGCCACTCGATATGACATAATTTTCGTAGCGAGAGTAGCAGAGAATTAGGTGTTGTTTTGCAGTGTCTTTAGCTTTTCATAGGCTCACTTCCTATCGGCATAAGAATATCGAATGCCGTCAGCCCGAAGAAGGGCGTCTGCCGCAGGGTGCGATTGATGTAGTACGTCGTTTATAGCCTATCAGTACGTTGCGCTTATTCCGGTTGGGGTCATAATCTATCGCTGCTCTTGCTGCTGTTGATCGCGTAGGTGGTGGCGAAAGACGTCTGGTCGTCCTCTCTGCATCGTTGTCCTTTCTTTCACAGCAAAAAACATTTCGATTACCTCATCCGCCTCATAAACGACAATGATTTTTGACCAATCAACAATGAATTGACACTATCGTTTATCACGACCGAGCATCGATCACCCGCAACAACGTCAGCACCTGCAAATTATATGCAGTTGATCGTATAGCAGCCAGCCAGCCAATATTAATATGGTCATGGAACTCCCCCGATACGCATCGCACAGTAGAAGCATGTCCAAAAACGCGATGACTACTAGCTGATGTTGAATTGTAAAGTGAAGCCCTTTGTTGAGTCCAATGGTGATGACTCTGCTTTGATCCGGCGCGGGGTTCACGACATGATCAGATTTAACGATTTCATAGCTGTTCAGCCCTCCAGCTAAACACTCACTGAACGATTTCGACAACTTAGATAGATAATTTTTTTCCATTTATATTCAGTAAATGAAACCGGCAAAAAATAGCTTTGAGTTATAAATTATTTTAGATATATATATATATTTATAACGTGGAATATATAATGAGTCAGAATGTAAAACGTAGGCGCAAACAGACAGGTATCTGTGGTAGGCCTGCACTAAGAGTCCTTTAGATCAAGGTCTTAGCTTATTGGTAATGATGTTAAGTTTAATGATAGCTGAGACGTACATATACCTCTTATCGTTTTGGCTCCCTCTGTCCGACATTTCGAAGCAAAGCTAACGCTCCAAAAAAAAAAAGAGTACGAACTATTCATTCAAAAGCATCTTGATAATTCGCCTTTTTCGAGAAATTGCGTATCTTTAGTAAGAAATGGAGATCGGTTCCAGTTTTGCCCGAGCCATTGCAGTTACTTGAACACGCTAAATGTGCGTGTTCTGATAATCTTTTGTTGAGAAAGTTCCTCCTTTTGGTGGCGTCGTAGTTAAGATTCCTTTGGCCATTGAGAATTTTCTGTGCGTTCATATGTGCTTGCTAGGGGCACTTTTCACTGCCGTTCGATCGGTCTGCTACGACGTCTGCTTAGAAAACAGTGATTTAGTCGTCTGTTCGTTTACCAATTTAATCGTTGCGGTCAACTGACTGTTGTCCTTCTCCTCTCACCTAGATCCGTGTGCATCTTTACTCTCCTTCAGAACCTGATGTCCTTCAGATGAACTTTGACATCTGCGGAGCCGCAGTTAACGATTAATCAGAATTATTATATTTCTTATGCTGTTTTTCGATATTACTATATAGTCGAGCAAGACCTGACCAAAACAGAAACGATAAAAGCAAAAAGGGTGTGCAACTAACCCATAGTAGACAAAAGAAGATGAGACTAAAAAAAAAAAAAAACTTATGTAACACATTTGGAAAGCTAGAAACAGTTTTACTTCGTTTACGACTGGGTGCAAAAACATAATCACAATATTGGAAATCACATTGCCACCTAGTCGTCCGAAAGGCGTTAACACAATATTGTTTTTTGTTCGAATAGAGATCGTACTTCTTGGGCTAATTTGTGTAACTGCTTGCCAGAGCTTTGTATTTTGCTTTTGATAAGGATAAGCTATCTGAAAGGTCACTCTCCATGATATCATCTTGTGAAAGATGCGACTATGATACGGATCGTCGATGCCCAATGTGGAAGCTATCGTAAAAAAATGGCACTTTTCTACAATACTTTTCTATGCTTCGTATATTTTTGTGCTTGAAAGAACGTTTGTTGAGCACGGACTGTCCTCTCGAAAACTCAACAATTCCTCGGTCAGCCAAAACGGTTTACTCCTCGAGCCGGTGCCGCGGCGAACAACTGATCCTCAATGTAACTGAAGGCACTCACAAGTTAAAAAATTAACTATAAGCCACTTCGAATTTAATGGTTCAGCGACGGAAGGAAAAGCGTTCATTTGTTTCATTCCTTTTACACAACACGTATCACTAGCTAATCACGTAGTACGTTTTATAATGTCACCTTTGCTTAAGTCAGTGTACCTAATTAGACGGAATAACATTATTAGCTTTTATATACTAGATCCGCTTCAGGCACTGCAAGGTCCATCTCTACACTATTTGTGGCAATAGCCGGTGCCTAAAACTTTCGACAATATTTGTTCCCTTGAGAAGGTAGCATGTGACACGTGTGGTAAAGCGTGTGGTACTGTACGATATTGCACAGCTAGGGCAAAAAACAAACTCTAACTAGGCATTCCAGGGTTGGATCGTACTAGTAGATAAACCCCCAAATCTAGCCATCTTGGTTTGCTATTACAGTTTTCAAGTACGGTTACCATGGCTATCGTATGAGCAAGCAGGACAATTATTCGAAAACTTTTTCATTTTCGATTATCTAAAGCAGACGATTGGTCATCGTTGTTAATGAAGAAGATGATACCGAACAGTGGCACACAGTATTTGCAAATATGCCTCTGCCTTAAGGCAGTAAACGCAAACATTTCTCGTATAATTCTGGAAATAAATTACTCTTTAAACTATGGACAATTTAAGGTATCTCGTTGTTGGCTGTGATTCCCAATAAGATAGGTCAAAAGTTATCTACGAGCGTATTCAGAGAACAATTTAGTATCATAAAGCCATTTTTCCTTTCTGCCTGCAAGATCCCGCTGCCGCAGGCTATCGACGTCCAGTGAGTAAGTCTTATAGACCTAAATGGTCAGCATAGCTGAATATTAGGTTCCACAAGCTAGTATAATAACAAGAAACGTTTCGTGCACAAGTGTATCTTAGGGGTTAGAAAATGTCTGCTAGTTCGACGAATATGGTTGGAACTGCGCCCTTTAGAAGCAAAATGGATGTACAAGTCCATGTCGCACGTAACAATGTATAAATGCCCAGTTTCATGTTAGCGTTTCCTATGAAGGCTAGCGAATAGGGCACGTTTATTGAAGGCAATAGGATTTCTATCAGAATCGATAAAGGAAAAACCACGGTTAATTATGGCGGATCAGCAACGAGCAGTCGGGATCAGAAATGCATCAACTGGCGACGAGTAAATCTAAGCTAAATTTAGAACAAGGGGTTCATGGAACGCCGTTGGGGTTCTGTTCGACTATGACGATGATTGCCACTACCTGCATCGTATCGCTAGTGGGGCAATGGAAAGTAGAGAAAGCTAAAAGTCATGCAGAACAAATTAATAGGAAATTGATGTTTGCAAGCAGGTCTGAGTTATGAATGAGTCTTTGTGCTGGACAATCAAGAATTAGTTTATTTACATAGTAACAGATGTTACCAATGATAGTTGAGACACAAAGCTATAAATTATCATAGAGACGATGTGATCGAAAAGTTGAGCTTGGTTAAGATTAACGGTATGGAATAGATGAGGCGCACTTAGTACAGGAGATAGTTGGCGGTTGTTAAAAGTTGGGAAGAACATCTTCGACAGAAAAAACGATCAGAGTAAAATAAACGTATAATCTTTGGGCGACCTTGAAAACTGCTCAAAGGCTTTTATCTGCTGTTAAGATCCTAGCGATAGACATTGACTAAGTCGGTGTTCCAAACCATGGTTTAATTTCGTTATGAAATCTCGTTGATGAAGTAACATGGACGAATTTCGTTTAGAAGAAACGGGAGTGCACAGGGGCGTATGCAGCGGGAACCGGAGCGTAAACGGGAACAACGTTCGAGGCTTTAGACTTGAGCCTTTGTGATTCGAACTGAAGGGCAGCTTCCGCTCCGGTCGGTGCCGTAGACTGAATGGTGACATCGGCCGGGTTTTTCGATTCCGTTCCGAGTTCGTTGGTGATCACGTCGGCGTGGAATCCGCTGTCATCAGCCCAGTATGTTACGGTCCTCTGACGTCCATCGGTCAGCGAGATAGTGTACTTGCCCTGAATACGGCCAGATCCATCGGTGGACTCTTCAGCAGTCGAGGATCCCTCTTTGTCCTCGGTAGCGTACGAGTACTGGTAAGGAGCAGGAGGCCCATATTGTTCCTGCTGCTGAATACGCTGGCCAACGGCGTACGCGGCAAACGCAGCTACGACTAGAAGGATAAAGAACCTCATTTTGTTTGCGTGTTGTGGCTTCTTGTTGTCGTGTCTTCGTGATAGCACCGTTTAGCACAAGATGGCTGGCCTCCGATGCGCGTAGCGGTTTTATAGTCAAAGTGGTCAAAGAAGAAGGGATGACTTTTGAAGGTAAAGCACACGAGTGTTCCCCCAGAAAAGCCAGCCGGATAGACGCTCCGGTAAGAACTGTAGACTGCTGTACCGTGCCCGTGGTAGTTTTCGATTGACCAAGCGGCGTCATCTGCTAGATACACCGCACTTCCCTAACAGAATTAATTGATTTCGTCTTCTAATTCCAATTGTGAATGTACTGCTTCGATCAGAGAAAGAAAATTCAGAAGACGAGTAGGAGATTTGTCTATTAGATAATTTAACAATGGTAGTAATCGTCGCGGTGGTTGAGATGCTTCGAAATAAATTGTTACATGTTCGTTAATGCGTTGATACTGGATGATAAACGTGGTACGAATAGGCTGAGATGTGTTGAAATACAGCTAGTTCTTACCGATAATTAATTTTACATCGGCCTTATAATCGGAGTACGGTGAGCGAAAGCTTTACGTTAAAAACCTAAATTTACTATATAACTGTTCGAATGCCTTTATATTGCAATTTATATGCTGCGTAATGTGATTTACTACTTCAAGACAGCATCAAGTAAAAGGAAGGGGCAGCTTTTAAGGCCCGTAGCTGAGGTACAGTGACCTGATTTATGGTTTTAATGTTCAGTCTCCAAGCGAACGTATCGAAATGTTATTCAATAACATTATTTTGCGGTGGAGATTGATGTGTACAATACAACAACCGTAAAATTCAGACAAAAAAAATAAAGACCTAGAAAAAAAATCATCGCTTTCATATATATATTTATTTAGTGGTATTCGTAGAAACATAGATAATAGACCCGACACTTTAATATCATCAATAAATCTTAATAGTCTTGCATTTCTTTTTCGCCATAACGTTGCAGGACACACGGACATTTTTCAAAATGTAAATAAGGCCAACAGCCAACATAACAATGAATGAATAACTCAGACGCGACACGTTGACGAATCGCCTAGATAAATCACCAGCAGAGAGAGACTTCACAAGTCAATATTTATACTGCAGCCGTTTTCGTTCTCGGTCTGTATATCTATCGATACATTGATTAATTTGCGTAGGCACGGGAACGGGGAGAAATACTTGTAGATCCGCTGAAGCTGTACGGCAACATGCCAATGCGCCTAAAATAAAAAAAAAAAACAATGCCTCCTTCGAACGAGGAAAATAAAAGGTCGTTAGATAATTCATTGAATTAGTTACAACATCCAGGACTAGCTGGTGTTGGCTCATGGTGAGAATTTTGTTACATGTTTTGCAACTCGGCTCGACACCTTCTACTTACAACCAGCGAGGTCTACATAGGGCGACAGTCACAGGTCATGCATTTATCAATTAAACAAACCTTGTGTTTATTTTTACAATAACTGTAGTGATTAGCTAGCACACGGGTAATTCAATGTCACATATTCTTGTGCCTAAGCATTAACTAATCTTTGCTGGTAATTATTAAGCCGGCATAATCTGAAGTGTATTTCTCAGCCGTTGCTGGCATAGCGGCAAAGGAAGTACCGCCATTGGTGTACAGTACGAGCTTGAAGTTCAGCGCGGTATGACGAGGTCCCTAGCTCGGCTTTAGTGCTAAGTTGCGTAGAAAATCCTTAGCAGTCTCAATGGCTCCATGATTAAGAACATAAAAACGTTTATTTATTTGTGTTGTCAAAATGTATTAACTAAAGTTGTATTTCAATTGGGATATTTGTAACAAAACAAATTGCGCAAAAGAAATAGCGTCCCTTTCGAAAATAGACGCCCTTCCAGGACAAAGCATTTATATCTACGTATCTTAACAACCCAGCTATTTTATCGTAACAAAGGCATACGCATCAACCGGGTCGCTTGTTTACCTCATAAAAGTCTGCTGTTAAGTGCGGGTCATAATGTGTTTAGTGCTTTCACAAATATTGTTTTTTTACACTGTGGCTATCTGCGTTAATGGCCCTAATTCATTTCTAGATTATATATCGTTACTTCTATGGGAAACCGAGCGTTAAGGTGCTCGCGTCCCTTACATTTGGTGGACGACTCTTCTGCCTTATTTGTTAGTACGAGTCTTAAATATACTGTTATGGATTATTACTTACAACTGAATAACGTTCCCTTAGCAAAGTCAATGCTCGGAAGAATCCTACACGTTGCTGCTCGTACTTGTAATAGATGGATGTCTTTTTGCCTACCTGCAGCACTGCTTCGTTATGCAACACGCCTTGCCCCCGTCCCCCGCTCCCCACTACAAGAAGGTGTCAGAAGACGACTCGTCATCACGAGGTCTGTATACGATACCTGCGTGTCCATTCTTCCTATATGCACAAGGCGTAACAGACATCCTGGTATATCGATGTGCAATGTTTGTGCCGCTAACCTAATCGATAGCTCAGCCGGTGACGTTCGGCCAACGGGTGTGAGAAACGATGCGTTGATTCGAGTCCGCTATTCTAATTGCGATGCAAACATTAGAGGAAAGTAAGATAATATTATGAGTCAAATACGAACAGCAGCTACCTAAAAGCTATGAAATTGTTCATCCTCTTTGTGGCTCTGGTCGTCTGCGCCATGACGCAGACAATTACCGCGTAGAAATACGGCCCGCTCGCACCCTATCCGTATTCAACTGATTTCGATGCAAATAAGGCTTGCAGAAACCAATGGACTACTTCAAGTCCGAAGATACCCACACGTATACAATGCACGCACGTGCCTAGATCAATGTGTGTGATAGATTTATGCACATCTAATTTTTGACGTGCAACAAAAGGGTACGATAGTGATATTAGCATTTAATACCCATCGTGCTTTTGACTAAACGTATTGGAATTGACATTCATGTTTAGCTTGTTTATTTCATTTCAAAGTAGCGTGGATAGCAGGAGGTATGTAAAATAAGCTATCGCGTAGTACTGGTTGTCTTAACTGGCTGTCATTTCGAAAGTGTGCAAAAACCGACCCCAGTTTCAGCTCTGTTTAATTTCATAATTTTTCGAACTGCTAAAATAATGCTAGCTATTATGTGCCCAGTAATTATATTGGTGAACAGAGGCGGAGCATTTTCAATGGAACTAACAAATGCCCCTAGTATCTTTCCTGGCGGACATGATGAACAACAGAATTATTCGAGCCGCAACCTGCATCTGACGCTTACCTGCATGCGTTGACGCGCTACTCGTTATCGTACGTACGTTCCGATTGATCAGCGCGATTGTTGTCGTACGTGACGGTTTTTCTATATGACTAGCTATTCGAAATATACAAATCTGTCATGCTAATGCGTGCCACATTCACGCCGGCAGTGACGCTGGCCATACAGTTTGTTTACATTTACACTTTCGTCCAGAGGCAGCATCACGTTGTTAATAACAACAAAAAAAAAAGTAAATAAACAAGTGGTCTGCGGCGTAAGGAAGGATTTTTACGTACACAGATGGGAGAAGACCAACGGAACTTAAAGATTACTGAAAAGCTGAATGCAGGTTTTATAATGAAACATTGAAAAAGAATATTGTACCTCCTAAGGAGCTTAGATCATCTGAATCCAGGGTAAATGTTACTATAACGTTACGCTTACGTAACTTACGTACGTTGCTCTACGGAACTTGACAGAGCTCAGTTCCGATTAAAGGCTTGCGTCGACAAACAAAAGCCAAAAGAAAAAACGATTCAGGTCAAACATTTCTGAGGCGACGATGTCAGACGTAATTTTCGCCTAGCAAGAATATGGCACCGAGGTATGTCCCTCGCGGTACGAGAAAGAGTATTCAGAGAGAATTGTCGCGGAGTCTTTCAGCGTCGCTTCTCAAAAAAAGGATTTTTCTCAGCTCGTACCAAGTCTTCTAGATTTTAAAAGCTCTCACTCAAAATACACTTGAATCTATTAACGTATTCCCTAAACATTCATTGAGAGAGAAAAATAAACATCGTAAACCTAGGTTTCGTGTGGAATCGGCAGGTGGGGCCTGTAAAAATTGACGATACACATTGAATGTGGCTAGAGCGTTAGGTTAGTAGAGAATAATGAAAACGAATTTTATTGAAATAGCATCAAAATTAGCGCATTTTATGTTTTTGTATTTGAACATTATTGAATAATGAGCATATTTAGCAACAACGAAACCACAACACTTCATTACGTAGGTGGCAAATTATCAAGTCAACTGGCCATCGAGAGGTGGGACAACCAAAGGGATATTATTATTACCATCTACGAGATTTTCCATGCGGCGGACGGTAACTGGCGACCGCTCCGTCCAGTCTTCAGAAAATAGACGAATAGATTCATTTAAAGATGGTATTTGCAATATGGATGATATGATACGTCTATGGATAATTAGGATTAGTCTCAGAAGCGAACCCAACTGTGCTTCTAATCTTTATATAGTAAATCTAATGAAATGTAATTGCCGTTAAGTACGTATCTAATTACAATGTGCACAAATATCTAGGAATTATTTCGAAATTTTGGAAACTACTCTAATCTAAAAATAGACAATAGCCTATAAAATTCAGTGTGAAGTTATTCACTTGGAACGTGCGATGAGACAAATATTAATCACAATAGGCAAACGTATCTCGTGGAGGGAGGTAGAACGGTGTTCTTGTGCCACCAGTTCCTTGCCACGCGATATGATAAACCGTGTTCAATAAAATACTAGTAATAGAATTGCGATTGGCTATAACTAGAAATTACAACGGTTGTGAAGACCTTTGACCAAAGGTCCGACCGCTCGGACGTCTCCTGGACAGATCAGTCGTGTGGACATACGAAGCTGTATATCAAATGCAGCTTGGATCTCGGCCATTTGGCCCCATCTCTCTTAGTAACATACACTGAAATCCCCACCATTCCTATGCAAAAAAGCCCGTTCACGCCTCTCCATCTATTGATGGTAACTGTCTATCTGTTAGCGTCCTTGTTTGCTCAACGTCCGCTACACGTACACGAGCTAGTAAGAATTAACTAGAACGGCATGCCACTCAAACCTGCCTGATCAGTTGTATCAGGGCTAGTACAGGAAATGCGGCAGATGCTGTGGCGATGGCACGGTATAAATGTTCGCGTCGACCTGCCATATCGTCAGTCACATCATAACATCTACGAAGACAAACTACCACCAGTTGACCAGCGTAAGGATGAAGTCATTCATTGTGCTAGCTGCTTTCGTAGCTGTTGCTGCCGGTCAAGGGCTCGGCCAGGAGAAGTACGAACCCCCTGCGCCGTATCAATTCGCCTACGCATCCGAGGACAAGGAAGGTTCATCCTCTCACGAAGAGTCAACCGATGGATCTGGACGGATTCAGGGCAAATATACAATGCAGTTAGCTGATGGCCGTGCTAGAACCGTCACCTACTGGGCAGATAACACCGGTTTCCATGCCGATATTATCACGAATGAACTCGGCACGGAGTCAAAGAACCCTGCCGATGTGACGATCCAGTCCTCTGCCCCCACCGGCCCAGAAGCCGCCCTGGCTGCTGAAGGCTCTCGCGTGAAGGCTCGCGCTTCGTACATTGCTCCGACTATTGTGCCGGCCCCTGCTGCGACCGCGTTTGCCGCTTTGGCGCCCATACACAACCGTTTCTTTCGTGCCTAAACTGCTTTGAATTAGTCGACTGTAAACGTAAATCTTTGTTGCGCTTGTAGCCAGGGATCAGAACGTTAACTAATCGTCTTTAATAAACAAGTGCCGCTACCGGCAATTGAATTTTTATAACTTCCTGCGAATGGACTATAACCTTTTACACCTTACAGACGGTGAACAGTGGTGCCAAAGCTAACTTATTCGGTAGATAGATAGGTAGATTCTGGTAGAACTGTTCCAGTTAATTTACTAGACCTCTTTAAGCTGTACCATGAATTTCGTCCACTTCTCTATACTTGACTTGATCATCCATGGAATTGAATCATAAGTATCGACTCATAAATCTACTGTTTCCTAATAAGGTTTTTAAGTCTCTTTCTATCTGTGGCTACTCTATCCCTTGTTCTACTCTTCCTATTGTAAATAAAGTTAGCCTCATAGCACCGATCTGTGTCGAGTTCTTCTAGCCTCACAAATAACTTAGTTCTTCCTGTTGTGTACCTGCCAAATGCATACGACAGTTTGGGTCTCTTAAATATGTTTTATTGCTTGTCTGTTTCTCCCTGTAAAAATACAGAGCTTTAACACATATCGATTTCTATATTATACGGCCCCTTACTTCTTTATTTTTTATTATTTTATTTTTCCAAGTTCTCCCTAGAAGACTTTGTTAATTCTGTTACGAAACGTGGTGATATTGCTCGTAGGTGACAGATTTAGTAAAATTACATTAACATATAGGGCATTGAACACAAATGTATAAAGGAACTCTGTCTGGCCCTTAAGGCTATTCCTAGTTAGGTCTATATTTTAATTCTTAAATGATATCCCTGTGGTATAAGTTTTCTGAGAATAGTGGTACAAAATTAGAAATATCTTGCCCTGATGGTAATCATTTCCAACAAACCTAGCTGATGTTTATATACAAACATAGTTAATATTTATATGGATGTTTATATTAGGTGGCTCTGCAGCGCATCAGAGGTCAACAGATCAAGCCTGTTCCCTTTGGAACGAGCATTCCCTTTTCCTATGATGGAAATAAAAGTATTTGTTGATTTTAAGTAAATTACGTAACGGTTTGCCTATCGATGTGAGTGTATATGCAAAATGATCATTTACTCGGTTTTTAAATTTATTGGCTACAAATGTAATAAATTTTATTTCCATGTTTATTAAAGAAACCTGCGAGATCATTTCGGAAGTGAACAGAAGTAGCATAAGATCAAATTCGAATCTCGACCATATTACAAACCCTTTGAGTCAGGTTAAATAGGTTCATATTGGCTGTACCTAGGGAAAAGGAAATGTTTCAAGCAATAGGCAAACAAAAATCTTGTAAATTATTTACTTGATCAATATGAGCACTTTGTTACATACGCAAAATTATGCCTAAATCTATGTTTTCATAGGAATAATCAAATGCATTTTAGGCCTTTTTTAATGAAAGGTTATCTATTTGAACGCTTGTCTGGTGCGTAGTGTACGTCCGGATCCGACGTTCCTGCTGAAATGACGCCGAGATCTCCTTGTACGAACACGTAAATGACTTCATCACTAAAGAACGATGATAATAAAGAAATACCGATTGCTTATTTCTGTGTCCTGGAAGCCTGAGAACAGCACGGTTATTAGGGCGTTAAAGCTCCTTTTTGCAGGTAGCGTATGATAATGATTAAAAACTTTTAACTTATGTAAGCGTTTTTTAAAATGTATTTACTTCGAATTGCTTAAGAGAAGTATACTTTAGTACCCATTCCAAGCTCATGTCAAATAACAAGTCAGTAACTTGTGACCTAATAACTCACCATCCTCAAGCAAAGATTTAATTACGTTTTCGACAATATGCGCTCTTGAACCCAGTGCGTCAGGATCGTAAACTGCTGGCCGTAAAGATTTAGTTACTATGTCAGTAGAAGTACCTAATAATATACCGTTATAATATAATAATATAAAAAAATAGCGTTGACTTTTAGGGATAACGTTGGAATAACTGTAGGGAACAAATGGCGTTACGGCCGTCTTGGTCGCAATAGCGAATACAAAATGCTCCCCATACTGAAATCTTTGGGCAAGCTCCCGTACAAAATGTTTGGGAAAATTCAGCTTTTTTTTTTTGTAATGTTGAAAATTGCTTCGCTCAAGCTGCGCTAGCACATGTATCGCACAATTCTTAATAAAAGTTTCAACTTGAACAGAATTTTTTCTTCTACCTTCTTAAAATAAGTCTCGCAGCACCTAATAATCAGGAATTATAGAGATTAGGTTGAATAGACGCAAAATATCGTATTCGATATAAAACTATATGTTACTGAAGAACCTGGAAAACGTTCGCTATCTAATTAACGACAGAGCTTCATATAATCAGATGCACTTGGGCATATATACATTTTTATTATTGAGCATTATTAAGAAGTAGGACTAGGAGATTTAGAAACAATAATTAGAAAGAAAATGGCACAGGTGAAAATATCACAGAGGGCAATGTTCATAGCTTAGAATTAGGAGCTAGGCAAATGAAACTATGCACGGAAGAAACGATTATGCACGGGCGCAAGAGTGGCGAGCGCATCAGCAGCGGGTGCCGGAACATAGATAGGAGCAGCGTACGAGGCTTTAGCCTTGAGGCGTTGCGACTCGAACTGAAGGGCGGCCTCAGCTCCGGTTGGTGCCGTAGACTGAATGGTGACATCGGCTGGGTTTTTCGACTCGGTTCCGAGTTCATTGGTGATCACGTCGGCGTGGAATCCGCTATCGTCAGCCCAGTATGTTACGGTCCTCTGACGTCCATCGGCTAGCGAGATGGTGTACTTGCCCTGAATACGGCCAGATCCATCGGTGGACTCCTCAGCAGTCGAGGACCCTTCTTTGTCCTCGGTAGCGTACGAATACTGGTAAGGAGCAGGAGGTCCGTATATCTCCTCCTGCGCTAAGGCACTGCTGACGACGGCCACAGCGGCGATACATACAATTGAAAACGTTTTCATGGTGCGCGTACTGCTTTTAGCTATTGCCTACTTGGTTTTTAGCTCAATTGCTGACCCGTTACAGCTGTTTCCTCCTTATAACAGAAACCCCCCAACGTTAGCGAAGGGTCGGTGGGTGAGAGTCAAATGAGACCCTACGACATGATGGCCGTTCATCTTCTTCGCCGGCTTTGGACTGACCTCTCAGAAAACGTAGATTTACGGCTGCCGTAATACCAATACCGGCAAAATCGCGTGCACTATGGAGAAGATGCTGGATGGTCAACTGGGGGAATATGTGCAATCCTAACGCTCCCACCTTTACATACCCAGCTCTGTTATGCTGTCATCACTAATCAGACAAAGTACTTAATATCATCGGATATGATTTGAACTGCTTATTGGATTTGCCAGCCGGACACAACAGTATTAGACAAGATCCGGTCGCTAGCGCAACATTCGGAGGGAATTTTCTGACAATTGCCATATCCAGACTGTTCTTCTATATGTGCCTTTTTTAAGGTTCGTGCGAACCATAAATTGCTTATGAGCGATCATACAGTGGGAACAAACAATTCTTCCCTCCTGCTTTAGGTGGCCATTTCGTTCTTGAAGCTTGCTTATAAATGTTGATTAATGTACTCCGAATGAAGAACTAACGCTAAGTACTCTTCTTGTTTGCTAGTGATGACGTACTTCAATTTACATCATCGATTGAGTTGTGGGAACTTTTTCAACTTATGAAAAGCTCGAAAATAACCATGAACATTTTTAAACATCAACAACAAACGCATTTTATTAATATTTGAATTTGACTAAGATATTCATTCATTCATTCATTCAACGGGGAATTAACAACAACGTTTGTCTATATTAAGCATGTAGTTTGAGACCTGAACTTGAGGTCAGGTCGACCTTTATTGAATAACAGGGAATACCTGCTCAAAGCGTCATGCAACACGCGTCTCCATTTTTTGGTGAAAGCCTAAAGTTCAAACTAACGAAACAGTTAGTCTGAACTGCTAAGGAGTGCTATATCGAATAAGTTGAGCGGCATATTGCGCCAAGTTAACGATTATATTGACAGACAAAATTGTAGGTATCAGAAGTCGTGCCTAGAGTCTGACTTTAGGCAGGTCGAAGCTTATGTAGATGGATATAACGATAGCTGCTCAAATTGTCACATCTGATGTCTGTATGAGTATGTAACCTTAAAACTTCGCGAGCGTACATAATTAAACAATCTGTATCAACTTGAAGCATTCCATACTACTCTTGTAGTACTTTGCGATGTTGCGATATCTTTATATATGGCACAATAGGGTTAAATTAAATTCTAGATTGAATTACCCATGGCAAGTTGCAGTCTTGTAGGCGAGGTTTATGCAATAAACCTAGGAGGAAACCACAGTAAGAAATTATGAACGAAATATAATTGCAACATAAAATTTATATACAAATATTGGTCATGTAGCGAAAAAAAACTAAAAAAATTATTATACCCAGCAATGTGTTAGGTAGACTTCATGTTGTTTATTAGATTAAGCTGCATTAAAGGGATCCACATCTGAGTCCAAACGAACGGCAAGGATAGATCCTTAATTATATAATGAATTTATTTTTAACGTTTCATTCTATCATGTCAGAAGCATGCGTGTGCAAGATGCTCAGTGCTTCTGTGCGCGAAGTCTGCTAAATATGCAAAAATTTGTATTTGCTTTGTTCTATAGAGACGAGGCAAAAAAGGATCGTTGTCGTAAGATGTATTGGTAATTCATGTTAACGCCATACGAAAAAGGCACATATGAGAAACTTTATAGGTTTCGTGCTCTACGTTGGTCTCCAGCACCACCTTCGAAGTAACAGGTTCGCTCAGGATACTGACTACAGGTAAACACCAAGTATGGGCCCACAAGGAAAATAACCTTTAACCTATTCTGAAAAGGGTTTTCGGAATGTTTTTGGCAAATAAAAGGTTCATCCACAATGAACGAACGACCTATTTGAAAAGTTGAAGCAAATTGCTATTCAGTCACAGATAGATATGTTGTTGCCGTTACGATCATTACTTTCAGCCTAACACAAAGTTAGGTAATATTTACTCTTAAGACAATATGAGCTTTACGTTTAAGGGCCATACCGACATTTCAGTATGAACAGTATGAATGAATAATGTCGTAATAGAACGGCGGCGCTACAAAAGAAAACGCAGTCCGAGGGGTTTTCAGAAGAAAGGAAAATGGATAGTGGTTTGCGAACGGATTCAATGTACCAACGCGTACTTCTGAATTCGCCGACCCAATGAAAAAGCGAGTCTTACTCTTTAACACCAAATACAGAGAAGAAAATAAAGCTGAATTTTGAAAGACCAGTGGATAGCGGAAAAGCGCTCTATGGCAGTGCGTTGAAAATGGGTGGATTTCCGTGTCTGTCCTTCCGCACAACATCTGATCAGACGACACTGCCGCCGCTACTTATGGCCGCTGTCTGTGCACAGATCGCCGATAGCTTGTTCTTCTGTTCGCCTCTACGCGTGAGCCGGTTTCATTATGGGAGCCAGTATTTTAACATCGATTATATTATTTATTATTATGATTACTATTTCTTCTATTGTTTTTCTCGCGCGTTCTTCGTTTGTCAGCTTTTCTGTGATCGATGTAGCAGCGATTTATTGAAAACTCAACGTTCGAACGCTGCTTCTGCTGCTGGTAGCGACGCAACAATGGCGCGCGTAAATAGCCACAGTCAGAAGTCAAAAGTCAATGTCGCTCAAGTTTCGTTCGACAGGCACCAAAGCAACGTGGAGTGTCAATTTCTCCATGGAACGGCAGAATGCCGCAGTATATGGGTCGTAGTCGATGCTCAAAAATACCGCGGGTCACAGTCTCTCTACGATTAACGCTCACAGACACACACCTACACGAAGCGTAACTGGCCACTGCCAATGTCGCGTGCGAACGAGGTATGTGCGTAACGTCACGTGGGTGTACGTTCCTCCCCCCACCACCGCTGCTAAAGGACCCCACGCACAAAAACTAACGGTGGCGGGGACAAATGCCGCTGCCTTCAAAAGTTGAGGGCAAGCGTTGGTCAGTTCGATAGAATACATGTTTAGAGGGGTGCTATGTCGTTGTCGTTGTTGTAAATAACGCACAACCCTTCCCCATCGATTCGTTCGTTTGTTCGTTACGAGCAGTGGCGCCGGAGAGGGAGCAGTAAGGGAAAAGAGCAACATGCGATAAAAACGTTCAAGAGCGTAGCAGCAGCGGCTGTAGCGCAGAAATGGATTTAATTGATAGGACTATGCCATTGCGTAATCAAGCAAATCTAATTCAAATCATTTCATGTGATAAATAATAGCAACAGCTGTACTAAGACCCGGTGACAAAAACGACGGTATCGCGCAAAGGCGCAATGCCATATTGGGCCTATCCGGCATTTGGCCAAATTCGATGATATGGCGGCCAAATATAGCTCTGCTAAATGTACGACAACAAAAAAGAGAGACCTACGATATAGGCATTTTCAACTAACAACAGAGAAAGCCCCAAAGCCAAGACAGATCAAGAATTATTGGTGCTTACGCTACGACATAAATGGTACAAAAGCATAAAAGGTCTCAAGTTGACCTTATTAATACGTAACGTGCTGCGCAAAGAGAAATCCATTTACAGAAATTTTAAACGAAGGTCAAACGCTTGCCCGTTATTGTCTCAATGGGTAACCAAACAAGTAGATGTACAAGTAAGACCCAAACATGGAAATTTTGTTACCATTGAAAATGCTGTATGTATTGGAAAAAAGCCATACTTGTTCAGGGGGATTGCAGAAGTATAAGATCCGGCAAGAACCTGCTGTACACGTAAAAGTTACTTCTCACATTGGCCATTGGTTACCGTAATGGAAAAAAATTAATATGTACACACACATACAACTCAGGGATTCTCAGGGACGAGGCACTAATAAGTCTAGCGTATGTGCTAACGGGTATCGAAAATAAAAATTATTGTTCGTATTGTTATTATTACTATGCACTGAGAATCTACCATGGATAAATAGCAAAAACAGTCCTGTGATGCAGGCTTACTACATGTCCTTTACGCTAACACGCGAAAGGCACTAAAACGCTGCACAGTAGATACTTATTCCCAACTGTCGATACGACCGACCGTCGTGGTCGTTTGGTAAATAGGACGGTGTAGCTCATGGCCTCGAGATTCTAGGTTGTTGCCCTAATTTCGACTCAGTAAATTTTTCACCTATCTCCTGGGGTCAGTTTACCGTGTTGTTACATCTAAAAGGCATCAATACCGTTTCACTCGGTTCTCCTATTATGATAGACTCAAGAGGATCCCTTTTATCGTCACCATAAAACGAACCTCGCAGATATCCCGTCTTATACAGTATGCCTATTGATCAATCGTAGCCATATCTATCCGTTCCTTTTACGCCTTCCATCAATTAACATTATAACGAGAACGTAATTAATTCCTATAATTTTTTGCATATATATATATATATAGAGGATATAATAATTTTTTGTTGATTGATCGTTCATCAATAGCTCGGCTTTTCAGAATAAGAACAATTTATATTAACTGTCTATGAACGCAATTGTTAAGTTTACTGCAAAACGAAGACGATTAACGTCCTGGGGCATTTGATTCGCTATGGCTATTGCCTTTTTGATGTCCAGCATTCAAGGCCCCCGGAGGTTTTATCCTCCTGGCACTTACATAGGCTTGCATCAGCCATTGTATCAACTGTTTTTGATACGAAATGTTACTAATAATTATAACAACGGCAATGCGTTAAAAAAACATCATTGGTTATAACCGCCGAGTCGAATAACGAGTATTGGCTACCATGAGAGAAGCTCGTAAAAAAAAGTATTCGGTTCTGTCATAAAACACGTTGATCGCAAACGCATGGCCAACAAAATTTGATGGTATGCTCTTACTTTTTATTTCAAATGAAATACCGAAACACCATTGCGTGGTGCACTTCTGCAGCAATTCAGGGCCCCTGAGTCAATTATGAAGAGGGATCGCATAGCA